TAGTGATTTTTAGACATTTGTCAGAGTTGCCTCTTTACTGAAGAACAAATTATGTTCGACAAACCTAAACGACTTGCATCATATAGCCATTTGCCCTGTTCTTTTAAAATTTGTCCAATTTGTTTTCGCCCTTACATCGTGAATGTAACACTCTCATGCACATTCCTCCTAATTCGCATACAGGATAGATTTAGCCATATTTGATACCCTTGCCACCCCTGATATGTTAGCAATGTCATAGAGCATTTTCACAAGGGGTAATATTTGTCGATGTACCCATCTTCTAGACTTTAGTTCAGCATTTAATGCGATGTTGCGACCTAAACTTTTCCATAAATAAAAGCTGTAATTAAATTTTATGGAAGCATATTTCACAGGCTCTGCGCTATTTCTTTACCAAAAGAAAACAATTTGGACCAATGGCGTCTTCTGAACAATTGGTCTGGCGTGCTGCAAAGCGCCGTATCATCTCCTGTCCTTTTATCCTCCACACTGGCGACCGTTGGCTCATCGCTTCATCAGGCTTTTCCAAATATGTAAACCATACTACAATCACTACAGCTGTAACTAATATCCTTTCACTTCTCCGCCACAAAACAGCATTCCAGCCTCGTTAGAGTTCCTAAAATATGCTGCTACAGCTCACTGTCGAAAATTGTCAGGAGTTGTGTCGTCTAAATAAAAATGCTAAATATCCCCGGTTCTTATACCCATGTGACGTTCCTTCCAAAACTGAAGATACTGAAACTAAACGCATAAACTCTACAAAATATCTTGCGATCGTACTACCCAAAGATTTTTTATTCGAACGTACGAAGCATACTGCTTATATAACATGGAAGACAGTGCACAATGTCTGAGGAGAGTGAGACTCATCTGAATTTCACTCTGCACCGTTTCATCAAATCGTAAATTCATCCGTTTTGTAACTATGTCTCCCTTATCTTCCTTCCTGAACTTCTAAGAGCTAATCTTCGCATTCTGTGACTGATCCACAAGTTGATGGCACGCGATGTCTGCTTCGATTTGGAAGGTCCTGTCAAAAAACTTGCACAACATAACCTAGAAGCTCGCATAACCTCCGGCAGGGTATTCACTCTAACAGCAACCATCAGATTCATCTGGATCTGTCTTCTTGTAGACCCATATATTTCGGTACAATACTAAAAATATCAAATATCTACTATCAGACGGAAGTGAAAAAATCCAATCATTACTGCTCTGGCTAGCACTATCGTGGCATCTAAGCTGGGATACATGCCGTATTCTAATCAAAACGAAGATCACGCGAGCACCCGACAGGGCTAACGAAACAGTGATTTGGTGAGGAACTAACATCGAGGAGGTCGAAAATTTCAAGTACCTGTACTTCGGTTTTGTACCAGCAAAATACAGAAGTAGAGAAGTGCTTACAGCCGGCATCTGTGGCCATCGGGCGACTATTTAAAGCGTGGCAAGATCTATCTGAACAGGAACAAAATCACCATATTGAATGCAGCAGTCTTCTTAATCCTGGTGTAGAGCCTTGATATATTAACCCTTTTAAAGCGTCATGAAAAGATTTTGGATATTTTTCAGCAGCACTGCTTGCGGAACATTCTGAAAGTGCGATGGTTCAATCGAATGAAGAATTAAAAGATCTCTGAAAGGAGAATGTTGATAATGAGAATGCTGTAAGAAGAAATCAGGGGCTGGCGTCTGTCGCAATTTCACTTAATCATTCGGAGAGTTAAATGAGACCTACTTAAAACCATTTTCCTCTGACAGGCAAAAAATGGCCACAGGAATGTCGGAGACACCCTAACTCTAACAGCAGCTAGAGGTGGGATTTCTGGCAACGAGGGATTGACCTTCCTGCAGCAAGAAAAATCGCCAAAATCATTCTGAGAAGCCAAAGCGTAAGATATCAATCTAGATACTGGGTCTTTGACCTTGATACATCAGATGACAAAGACGTCAACAACGACATTCTGTAAACAGCCACTTAATTTCTAACGACATTCTGTAAACAGTCACTTAATTTCTCGACCGCCTAAAGTGCATTTGGGAGTTTAGTTTATCTTGTTATTCCTTTGTTTTGAAACGTATGGTAATATTCCGCATAGCGAAGCAATAAAATACATACAATTTATACAAACCATATAGTAAACCTAATCAAGCTTTTAATACACTTACTTAATCACGACTATCTGCCTTGCTTCGGCCGCTTCGATATCGATGTTGTCCAGTCCTGATCCGGCCCTGGCGATCACTTTCAATCTCTTCCCCGCATCGATTATGTCTTTGGTAATTTTTGTGGAGGAGCGTACTACCACCGCGTCATAATCCTATTAATAGCACTGAATATTATTCACTGAATGACAAATTTTAATGCAGCCAAACATATTAGTAGTATACCGCAAATTAATCTGTTATTACAATGATAAATGACACTCTGGTGGTCAGATGGCAGCAGTTTAACGATATTCTAAAAACCAGCCGGAAGACCATCAGATAGCTCAGAAATAAGGACACTTTCATGCAATGCTGATGGTGGCTTCCAGTCATACATTACGAGAGAAAAATGTGATAGCAAACGGGAAAACAACGCGTGATGAAATAGTTAAAAATACTGGTTGCTTAACAGTCTGCCATTCTGTATGCTGCTGAATAAACGATTTTACTATGTGAACAATTCCTAATGCCCGCATAACGAGTTCAAATTTAACCAAGGAATTCTATTACCTGTATCAGATTCGTCAACCTGTCTTTCGGCAAAGAATCAAACTGCTGAACAGAAATGCAGCTCCGTGCTAGCGCTTGGGCACACGACTCATCAACGCCGTCCAAAATCAGCACACATTCAATAAGCATAGCCACCACTCTTTTCAACGATCCTCACTTAACACTTACACAACAGTGATCAGCGGTTGCAGTAACTGACCTCAAGGTCACCTACGTCAATACTCACAAGGTCAGTCGCAAACCGTAGCAAGCATGTGACTGCATTTTGACTAACAATGTTTACCGCTACAGCAGTGACAAATCAGCCACGAGGCTACCATGCGATACCAGCTGCTACATAACGTAAAGTAAACAATGGTCCTGTATGTTTATAATAAAAGTTATCAAGTGAATATCATGGACATCTGTCTTACAACTCATAACATACGATCTTCGACAAATTCTAACAAATTATTTTTGAAGAAAGCTTATTCATGACATTCTGAAAATATAATGCTAGTGATGCTTCGGTAAATCACAAGCAGGAAGACAACTCACAAAATATTCTTTAATTATGGCCATCTGACGTCTCGGACCAAGCTCGGTCCGTCTTCAGAGCAAAACAGATTAAATTAAGGAATATTTTATGTGAAGTCTTTCGGTTTCTCACTTACCAAAGCATCATATCATCTCCCCATTAAGAAATCATGTACCTTATTCAATATCATGCTAGTCACATATACAAACAACTTGTCTACCCTTGATAATGCATCCGCTTGCCAATGACACAAGAAACACAGAAAATCTTGTAAATCATCACTGATCAGACCGTTTCAACATTATTTCAAGCCGAAAATTCTATTGAACCATATCCTAACAAATTTGTTCATATCTGCGCTCCTTGCAACTGGTGATGAGTTATAGACAAGTAGATGGTAGTCGATAACAGCTCCAATTAATGTACAACTTGCGGACGTATACATGAACAATCTTGAAATATCATTCCATATGGCACGTGACAAACCCTACA